CTTTCACTCTTCTGATTCTCTTCCCCAGCCCACTGAGAGTTAAGTAATCAGCTGTGTCTAACTGGGCTGGACTAACCCACCATAAGGTACTTTCTCCAGACAGGCCTGAAAGTTCTTTTGCCCTAGCATAAGACACTCCTCGGTGCAAATACAGGCAGTGCAAGAATCACCTTCATAATTTTCTGACTGCTAAGTAATTGTTACAGGCACATGATGAAACCCAGAGCCCCAAAAGGACACCAGCCTGTGTCCTCTCTGAGCAGCTGTGGATAATTCTGCTTTGCAGAGATCTGTATTTCATCTCAATTAAATGGCAAAGTTTCACTGGGTTTATTCACAACTATCACTCTTGGTCAAATCCATCAGCCAGCATGGCCTGTCTCAGACTTGTCCCCAAGAGGGTGATTGTTAGAGCACAACACGAGACAGACCATGCCAAAAACTGCAGGGAAAACACTGTCAGCCCAAGGACAGCTGAAACTTAGGCTCCTGTTGGTCACTGGGGGAAGGGAAGTGATTAGGTGCAAGACACTGTGCCCCTGGCAGGGGCACTCTGTATAGCACAGGGTCGAGGTAGGGACTGGAATTTCTTGCTCTGCAGTCCTCTTTTGGAGAGCATGTCCCCTCTGGTCCCTCTGTTCCAGCATGGCATTCTAGTAAACACAAGTCTGAGCCTTCTCGTGGTTAGTGCTTCTTTAAGGCTACTCTGTGTGCTTGACAGCTCACTGAAATCACCCAATGCAGAAGAAAAGAATGACTTCCCAGCTAAAGGAAACAGCCACAAAGTGAGCACCCAGAGTACGACTTGCACGTGGTGCTGCCTCCTCTCTTCATCAGTAAATCACCTGGGAAAGCAAAACACAACACCAATGTCCTGTGAGGGATGTGTGAGACAAAACCAATTCCCATTCCAGAACAGCATGAAGCAAAGCTCAGTGAGTGCCCCAGGAGGCAGCTCTCCTGCCCCTCAGCATGCACTGCTTGCTTATCTCAGATGCTGTACAAGCTCCATGCACAGGGAAAACACCACACTCTGGCTCCAGGGGGAACCTCCTCCAAGCCCCACATTCACTACTCTGCAAAGCTTTGCCCAATCTCAAACTAGGTCTACACACAGGAGAAGAAAAAGGCTCCTACCTCGCTGCGACAGCCACAGCAGTGCTCTGAAAGCTGCTGCTCCTTACCACCCGCTGGGCCAGCCCAGCCTCTGCACAGCCAGCACAAGCAAGAGGGCTTTTCTCTTCAGCACACTCTGGTGGTTCTGAGAAACCCAAATCATTTCAAGATGCCATGAGTTTCAACCCCTCATTCACCTAGACACAGCCTGCCTCCCTGGCTGCTACCTCAAAGGGCCTGAGCCAGCTCCTGGCTCTTACATCTCCTGGAATATGTGGGCAGGTTATGTCCCCTGGCTGTTTGGGCTCCTGCATGTCTCCTAGCAGCAGTAACAACACAGACTGAAGGGCAGAGTCTTGATCCACCACTCTGCCACCTGCTGTCCCCTCAGGAGCTGCTCCCTGAAGCTTGCTAAATCCCTGGGATGCACAGCTGAGCCCTGCAAGGAGCAGCCAGTGCAGGCACAGTGTCCACCAGCTACAGAGAACCAACAGGGATCACACTTGGAGATTTACATCTTGCTCCTCCACCTCAGGAGGCATCTCGAGGCCTCCAGCCAGCACCAGCAGGTTTCTGCCTCCTGCAGAGAGGGGAAGACATCCCACCTTCCACATTACCCTGATGGAAACAAGGGAGGAAATGGAAAAAACTGAGCTGAGGTCAGACAGGGGTTGCAACTGGATGAGGAAGAAGAGCTTGCTGCAGACCCAGGCTCTGGGGGACAGCCTCTCTTTCCAGGGTGCAATGGCTCAAACCACAGCTGTTTGGGCTGTGGAGCAGCTCAAACACTGATAGGAAATCCCTGGTGTTGAAATAAGTTCTGACCTGTCCTAAACTACCAATCTCTGCCTCTGGAGGGAGCATCCCACAGGTGTCACCTACCACGGCAGAGCAACAAGTCCTACAGCAGCCTGGGAGATCTCTCCAGGGATATTCCTAGTCTACAGACCACTTGGAAGAGTGAGAAGCAGGTGGGTCAGATATCATAGGTCTCAAGACAGAAGGAGGTCAGGTTCTAAGAAAGGGCTGCAGTTGCAAAGAGTGAACTTGCAGAAGATCAGGTGGACTGAAGATGCACACAGAGCAAAGACCCAAAACTCACCTTCATCATCACTGCTGCCACAATCCCCAGCAGGGCCAAGATGACCAGTCCAATTTGGCCCTTGTTAAATCGCTTCAAGAGGAAGAACTTGGCCCAATCCAACTTCTTCTGGCTGCCAGGTGGGTACCTCATTTTGTTCGTACCCTCCATCTTCAGGTCCTTGATCAAGCAGGCGCGGCGGTGCGAGAAGGTCTCGAAGCTGTGCTTGCCGTGGTAGGCTCCCATCCCACTGTGACCTGAGGGACACAACCCAGGCAGGTCACACCACAGGCTCAGCCAAACCTTTGGCCACTTGAGGACAACTGGCCCTTCCTCCCCACAGCACACTCAGTCTCCAAGATGTCCATCTGGACTCCAACCCTCTTCATCCCCACCCTGTTTTCACTATGCACTCTCCAGTCTTTTGTTAAGTTCCCTGCTGTGATCTCCAGCTCTTCCCTGGATTTAACTCCCCCTCAAAGCACCATGCCAAAGCTCTGGGATCTGACTGGTGCACGTGAGGATTTCCTGAGGAGCTTTACAGGGTAAACCTCCATGCTGCAATTCCAGGCCAGTGTGTGCCGTGCACACTGGTTCACTGTCACCCTGTGACCTTCTGTCCTAACGTACTCACAGAACTTAATATTATTATCAGGATCTGCTGCACAGAGATCCTTGGGCTGTAACAGGCACAGGAGCACCCAGACACAAACCATGAGCTGCTGCTCCCTGTGTCACACCATGCAACAAATCCCAACTCTTAAGGAGCTGCAGTAACTTACCAACACCACCAAAGGGCAAAGATGAGAGGAAGAAATGCATAATGACATCGTTTCCAGTCACACCCCCACTGGAGGTTTCTGAGATGACTCTTTTGATTAACTAGTAAAAGAAAATAAAATAAACAAAGCATTACAAAGGTCCAAACGAGACCAGATCATGGAACTGAGGATACTGGGAAAGGAGCTGAGATAACAAGCCATTGTGTTCATTTCCTCTGGCACAGCCCAGACCCACCTGCTTGTTGTTGGAGAAGACATACAGGGCAAGGGGCTTCTGCCGGTTGGTGCTGAATGGCTTCATCTACACTCTTCACAGCCACAATGGGGAGGACAGGTCCAAAGATTTCCTCCTCCATCACCTTTGACTCCGGAGAAACATCAGTGAGGATGGTTGGTGCTGCAGCAAACAGGAGAAAAGGAGACAGTGTGAGCAGGACAGAAGACCTGGCTGACCACAGGACCTTGTCCTGGGCACTGCCTGTGGGCAACACACACCAGGCAAGCCACAGACACACAGATCACAAAAGAACCACTAACACCTCCCCTCCCCAACTGCTGCCAGAAGCACCTATGAAGCAGGAGGCCTCGTCTGTCTCTCCTCCATGAGCAATCTTCTGCCCTTCCAGCAAGCTCACGATCCTCTTGAAGTGACGCTTGTTGATGATCCTTTCATAATCAGGAGATGACTTCACATTTTCCCCATAGAATTCCTGACCAAGGGCACAGCAGAAATACAATGCTCAACACACCTTCCAACAGCTACAGCTCCAGGAACTCAGAGCTGGGCTGTAACACAGATAACTCCCACAAAACCAGCCTCACCAGCAGAGTGGCCTTGATGTTCTCCACCACCTTGCTCTGGATGGATGGGTCGCAGAGGATGTAGTCTGGGGCAATGCAGGTTTGCCCACAGTTCATGTACTTGCCCCACGTTATCCTCCTGTGGGGGGGAAAGGCAGATGGTTTCTCATGATCATTCCCTTCCCCACATCATAGTCCTGGGGACAACCCCCCAGAGATGTCTCCCTGCCCCACTGCTCAGAACCCATCAGGGGTGCAAGAGCCTGACCTGCAGGCGACAGCCAGGTCACAGTCCTTGTCGATGTAGCAGGGGATCTTCCCCCCCAGCAGCTCCAGGGTGACAGGAGTCAGGTGCTTGGCAGCTGCTGCCATCACAATTTTGCCCACTGCAGTGTTGCCAGTGTAGAGGATGTGATCAAACCTCTGGGTCAGGAGGTCAGTCGTCTCAGGAACTCCTCCAGTGACCACAGGGTACAGCTCCTGTGGGGCAAACAAGAGCCTTACAGTTATCTTGATTTAAAGCACTTAGACCAAGGCAGTACCTCTGCACGTGGCAGAAAGCAGATTTATTTGTGAGTCACTTCAGGATCTGGATAAAATGTAGTGATAACAGACATGCTCTGCTCCTTCCCCTGAAATGAAGCTTCAGTTGCCACTGTGTAATATGAACTAAAAGAAATGGAGGTTGTGGCCAGGGCTGAGTCAGGCTGTGTTGCTGCTCCCACATGTTAAGACCTAGGATGCACATGATCACCAAGGGCTGTCTCCTTCCTTAGGTCTTGCCTCCCACCTAGAGAATGTGCTAATTGCCTGGAGGAAACAGCCCAGGGGCCTGTGCTGTCACAGCAACCGTCTGTCTCAGTGACACAGTGCAGTGGATGTCAGAACTGCCAGGCAAGTGGAGGAGAAACAACACATCCTCCTACGAGTGTGGTTCAGCATGACACGAAATCCCAGGCTGTACTGCCATGGAACACATGGTGCCCAACTCTGAGGAAAAAAAAACAGGCACAGCTAGCATCCTACCAAACCTGTGCTTACCTAAGGGCATCCCCAACACAGCTCCAAAAGAGCAGCTACTGCAGGGAGGAGCATGTGCACAGCTCTTCACACGGTCAGCAGTGTCAGAAGGGCTGTCACGTTGCAGCAGCATTATGTAAGCACATGAGGTTACACAAACACAGGAAGAATATGCAGAAGTACTTTTGTACTTTGAGAGTAGTTCAACACTTCCTGTGCCTCCTACTTACGCTCCTCGAAAAAAGAGGGGGCAACTGATTTGACTCAAACCTGAAGGAGTTTTTTGGAAGCAGGACAGACCAAGACAGTCATGTTCTGGGGCCACACTCACCCGGTCCAGGTA